ATGTAAGCAAGACTGCATGCGTGCAGGTATGTGAGTCTGTATGAATATGCGCATATATTTTTTTATATGCCTGCATCAGCCTGTGTGTGTGTGTGCAGTGTATACCTATATGTTAACAACATGCAGCTGTGCATGCAGGCGTATGCAAATTGCAGATGCATGTCCATTTTCATGTATGTATGCACCTACCTGTCGATGCACGTATGTGCGAATGTTTGCGTATGTAAACAGATAGGTAGAGACAGATATAGACTTGGATAAAGATATGGAAATAGATATAGATGTAGATATACATATAAAAACAGGTACATTCATGCATACATATACATACACATAAACATACACATATGCATAGGCATACGCATATACACAGACCTAGGCATCCCCATACACATACACATGCGTACATGCATACATACGTACATACGTTCATACATACATACATACATACATACAGGCACACATGTATATACACAATATATGCACATAGATGTGTGGAAATAAGGAAACTGTATGTGTATATGTATATGAGTATGTATATATACATATACATATACATATACATATACGTATGCGTATACGTATACGTATACGTATACCTATACCTATACATATACATATACATATACATATACATTTACATATATATATATACATATACATATCGCACATACATACATATAAATATATACATGTACATTGCTGTATACATGTGTATGTATATGTCTGCATATAAACATAGATGCGTGTATGTATATATATATATATACACTTATACATACATATGTTTTTACACGTATGTGCGTGTATATATGTATGTGTATATATATATATATATATATATGCACTGCATCAATATTCGGCCTGGCACTGAGATCCCGGCGTTGCTTGTGCCTGAGCCTTCAGGCGATCCTTCTCGTCCAGGGTGCCCCGGAGCTCCTTTATAACGCGGGCTTCAAAAGGGGTTTTGACGGTACTTTAATGAGCTTTAAGAGGGCTTGCTTGATAGCTGAGTGCCGCGAAACTTTTGCAAGGCGGGTATTCCTTTGCAGCAGACTGGGTCTAGTTCGGTGACTGCCAAGTCTGGGGTTGTCCTGTGTTTCGGGCCGGGTAAATGTTTGGAATGTTTGGAAGCCGTTAGGATGCCGTGCTTAAGCCTAAGCGTTTTGGAATTGATGCCGGGCATCAGTAAATATGTTGTAGCAAAATCCGGCTACACTCCTGGCTTCCGGCTAGGGCCGAGTGTTCAGGGAAGTGAGTTGAAGCCCCGTCGAGCATGTGGGCGCTCAGGCTGTTGGCCGGGCCACATGCTAATGCTACCTCTACCCCGCTCATTTCTGGGCTGGAAGCAGAGCTCAACATCCCGCATCCTAAGGCATCCTGGCATACTGCGACCACCAACAATTACTGTCCAATCGAGGATGCACTGCATGTGACGGACAGACGAGCGCCCAAGCCCTGGAGCACACGACCCCTCCCATGCTCCTTCTCATGCAAGTCCCGCATTCGATCTTGCTCGGCCTGCAGGGCGGGCTTGCGGGCTTCGGATGCAGAGCAATCCGACTGCTACATTGCAGGATCATGTGTCTGTCTGTCTCTGGGACCCACGGCGCGTTGACAGCTCAGAGTGCTCATGAAAGTCCTTGGAAGGTCCTAAAGCCTGCGACATCCGCAGACACCAAACACTTAATACAGGAGTGAAACCAGCAACTGCTTAAACACATCGAACCTGACAGCAGTCCCAGCTTGACGTAGTGTTGCCACTGGCCGAACCTCAACCCGTTCGTGCCACGGAGCCTCCCAGTGGGCTTTTTGCCTTGCGAGGACATCCTGCAGGTCGTCGACTGGATGCAGCTTCCCACAACTGACGAATTGACGATCGACAGTAGGCAGGAAACTTTGAGAACTCACCAAAAGCAACACTGGCTGGGTGGTACGATGAACCACACAGCTTGCATCAGTCGTCCCCAAACCCGCAAAAGCCGAACGAGCTACAGGGCTCAGACAGAAAAGCCGAATCTCCTCTTTCTCTCGCTCGGCTTTCTCACCTGAGCTGCATCTGGAAGTGATGATAACTACAAGACATTCTGACACTTCGACGCGGAGCTCTAGCAATAATGCTGATGATAAACATGAGCACAATGATGAGGCTCCGCAACTGCGGCAAGAGTAGAAGCTGCAGCACTAGCAGCAGCGATGACAATAGTGGAGGCAGAAAAGGAATCGTAGCAGTGCCAGCGTGTTAAGCATTGGCAGCAATAGTCGTTGTCAGTAGCAACAGCAGCAGCAGCAGAGGGAGGAGCAGTAGTAGTAGTAGTAGTAGTAGTAGTAGTAGTAGTAGTAGTAGTAGTAGTAGTAGTAGTAGTGGTAGTAGTAGTAGTAGTACTAGTAGTAGTACTAGTAGTAGTACTAGTAGTAGTACTAGTAGTAGTAGTAGTAGTAGTAGTAGTAGTAGTAGTAGTAGTAGTAGTAGTAGTAGTAGTAGTAGTGGTAGTAGTAGTATCAGGAGTAGCAGTAGCGCAGTAGTAGTAGCAGTAGCAGTAGCAGCAGGAGCAGTAGTGGTAGTAGTAGTAGTAGTCGTCGTCGTGGTGGTGGTAGTAGTCGTAGTAGTAGAGTGCGGGAGGGATTTAGAGCCAGTCTTGGGGCAAGAACGTCCAATCTTGCCCATCTTACCTTTCAAGACTTGGGGGGCGGTCCACATTGTACGCAAGCTTGCTCGGCGTTGGAGGGGTGCGGGGGCAAGATTGGCGTGCAGGCTTGCCCATCTTGATGATGGTCTCGATGGAGGGGTAAGTCGTGCAAAATCTTGTAATCTTCCTGTTCCGCTGTCCCCATCGAAAACCCTAAACCCCCAAACCCTAAACCCCTGGACCCCTAAACCCTAAAATCTTGCAACCCCCTTGGACGACCGAGATTTCCAGATTACCACTGTCTGGTTGACCAAGTTTGCTGCAACACTGATCCGCTCTAGATTCCCAGCACGGTGTGGTACTGGTAGTAGCAGTAGCAGCCGCAGCCGCAGCCGCAGCCGCAGTCGCAGTCGCAGTCGCAGTCGCAGTCGCAGTGGCAGTGGCAGTGGCAGTGGCAGTAGCAGTAGCAGTAGCAGCAGCAGCAGCAGTTGGGGTTGCAGTGGCAGCAGCAGCAGCAGCAGGACAAGGGGCAGGAGCAGGAGCAGCAGCACCACCACCAGCAGCGGCAGTAGCCGCAGCAGCGGCAGCAGTAGCAGCAGGAGCAGCAGGAGCAGCAGGAGCAGCAGGAGCAGCAGGAGCAGCAGTAGTAGTAGCAGTCGACGTCGTCGTCGTAGCGGTGCTCGTCGTTGCCGTCGTAGTCTGAGTCGTCGTCTGAGTCGTAGTCGTATTTGTTGTACTGGCACTAGTACTGGTACTAGTCCTAGTGCTCTTACAGGTAGCTTCTCACTTTGGTATGAGAGTCGTAGTATAGTGGCACTCGAAGCAGAGACTGCTTTGCCACAGAAAATGCAGAGGCACCTGCGCAGCAGTTTTTGCCAATGATTGTGCATTCAGAACGAACCGCTCCATCCTTGTGCGCTCTTGAACCACTGTGCTACTGGAACATGCCGACATGGTAAGCTCGCATGGCAGGGTAAAAACTGCCAAACCTGCAAAACAGCAGGCTTCCTGCGAAGAGGATCTGTCAGCAGCAGTCTTTCCAAGTATGCACATCGTCGCTGACGTTTCGGCAAAATACACACCGGGGATGCCGATGTGTTTCGAAAGTTCACCTTATGGCTGTTTGTTTGCAAAACTCGTTCTTGGATTGAAACCTTCAGGAGCTTCCTTCTGCGCTTCCGCGCTTCCGGCTGACAAAAGAGCACAGCTTCAACTCCTCAAAGTCTATCAGGCACACGGCTCCTTCTCAAGACCTGTGTGAAGCTGAATCCCGAGATTTGTCGGGAAAGAGCCCAGTCGACAGCCAAAGCCAAACTTCAAAGGCTGAGCTGCCCCTCCCCCTCCTCCAAACCCTCGCACCAGGAGCTGAGGCTGTGGCTTCTGGTGAGGGCCACCCAGCTCTTGAGTGTATTGAGCAGGGCAGCCTGCATCGGATGCATCGAAGCTCAATAACGACGAGTAAGACCCTTCTGAAGTAGTTCCAACGATGTTGAAGACGTCCGGCCTGTCCTTCTCAACATTTACAGGGCACCTTCGTGACCCCAATGCCCGCTGCAGCACGTCGGACTTCTTGGTTCGAAGCCCCTTTCCCGCGATAGCAGCTCAGCTTTCCGCTCCGCGCCTTGTCTTTGCCCATGAAGGCATTCCGCAAGGACGCGTTCACAGCCTGCATACGCGCAGTATCATCAGAGCTGGACTGGTACAAGATGCAAAGCTGCAGGTTCGTTGACTGGGTTTTGACAGAAACGCCAGAGACAAAGGCAGTCAAAGGCTCCATTGGCGAGTCGTGGTGGTGTGGTGGTGCTTCCAGCGCTGATGGATAGCCGCTGCGAAATTGCCTCTCGATTTCTCTTCTGCATCTTGCTCTGCTTGGTGAACTGCGACCAATTCTGGAAAACCTCGACGTAAGGGCACTCGAGGGCGAAGCACGGACAGGAGCACAACACCGAATAAGAGCTCCTGGCCGTCTTTTTGCTGCCTTTCTCATCACCGGCAGCCCACCTGGGTGTCGGCTGAAGGGGCTCTGGGTGAAATTCCTCAAAGCTCAAACCGAGCTGATGGTCCAATGCACCAACTTAACAAACGGAGCACGACTGCAGCCGCGGCGGTTTGGAACATCCTGGGAAGGACGACAGCTTCTTATGTACTTCATCTGAGGAAACTGCTTGGTCACGGAAGCCATGACGCTAGCACGGGCCTTGTCCATCGCAATTTCGGCCTGCCGAGCATGGTCCGAATTATAAAGCTCCTCCGCCGATTCCTCCGGAGCACGTGCGCTCCCAGTATAAGGCTACGCTGCCTTGCGGAAGACCGAGGCACCCTGTCAGCTCTCTCCCTCTCCCCCTCTCTGAGAGCGCGTTTTTCCGATCGCTAGAGCTCGGTGCGGGGAGCCTCAGCGTTGGTGCAGAACGCTTGCTTTTCCACGTGCTGTAGAGCAATATATGAAGTATTTGTGCACATGTATAAACATACATACACACATAAACACATATATGTGTATACATTTGTTTATTTATCTATCTATACACACCTATGTAAATATGTGTATTGACATATACATGTACGTACATATTAACACATGTTGAGGAGGCTTCTGGAGCTGGGCCAATAACTCAAGCGGTGGAAAGCCTGCAGGTGCCTAAGTAAGGCCAGTTTTGGCGAAGAACTGCTTTATTAATATCAGATGTCGCGCCTACTTCCGAAGCTTCTGACTGAGACTTACCTGAGCTTCGGCTTGCAGCCGGGTGACACCAGGACCTGCGGAGGACGAGTCCATGCAAAGCGGTGGTGGCCGTGGCGCCCGTTGGCCCAAGGGAGCTCCAGCTTGCGCCCCGGCACTGCCCAGAGCCGCCAAAGACTGAGCTGCAGGGACTCTGCGGGAAATCGGGTCTCTGTCGCAAGGGACTTTTCTGCCTCTTGCTCATAACCCCTGGCTGCACATGGGATCGGGCCTTCTGCTTTTCTAACCATGGCGGGTGATGCCTACAACTGCAGCAGAGAGCATGGTGACCCCGTGCGATCCTATCAGGTCATACGAATCCCAACAAGGGCTGACGGTTTTCATGGATTGGTGAATCCGTCCGACGATATGCCCCAGCCATCTTAAGACGGCACGGCACCTGCACACAAGACACCAACGCTTGCTTGCTTTGAGACCACGTAGCTTCATCTACCCACGGAAAAGTGGCAAGCCCAACAGAACAGAACAAAAACGGCTCTGTCGTTAGCAAACCGATGCCAGTGCTTGTCCTTCCTAACCTAGCGGAGCCATAAGATTATTGCCATGCAGCGTATGCACGCACAGTCTCCGCGCTGGAGAGTTTGTAGCGTAGCCACCTCAGCCACATATCGACCATCACGGTATCCAGCCAGATACGTCCTGTTGACTTCATTCCCGAGCATACGCCAGTCTGACATTACTGACATTCTTTACCCTCAGAAAGTAGGCCCAGATTAACGCCGCGAAGTATCAGGCAACGCAGATAACTTGACTGCCCGATCGCCAAAATGAAGCCAATATCTAGGCCAATCATCTCAGAGTGGCCCAGGGAATAAGATCGCTTCACCTGAGACAGGTTCGAACGGAAGTCCTTCTGATGCAATCTCCAGCGACCTGCTTTCCAAACAGTCCCTTACAATACCGCTTTAAAGTGGCTTGAATTTTGAAGTCAGGCCTATGCAACTACTTTGTGATAACGGCGCCGATCCATGTGTCGCGGTCGCACTATGTTCGGACGAGTGGCCTTCCTTGCAGTGGACCTCGCTGTGCCAGTGAAACGGGGCCTGCAGGTGGAGGCGCGGAGGCGCGGTACAAGTCTGCCGTCAGCAACTGGAAGCCCGGCCTTGGGCTCGAGGCCCAGGAGCTCGCCCTTCGCCGATATTTTGGGTGGGAGGGCAAATTTTACATTTCGGTGGCAGAAATTCTGCATGCGTGCTTCTCGGCTGCTCCCCCCGCACCTTCATCGGAACACTGCCTGGCCAATTGCGGCTCCACCTACCTCGGATCAGTCGCAGCGAGACTCACTCAAGGGAGCTGACAGCTGGGTGGAGCGCAGGGTTTTGCAGAGAGTACAAGAACAAAACTCAGAGACTCGGCACGCCCGGCTGGTGCTTTTGACTTCGAAACTACGGGCTTGGGCTCGCTGTTTCCTTTGTGACCTTCTGCAGACCGAGCGTATGTTCGCGGGATCCTGCATGAGAGGTTCCTTCGCTTCTGCCTCCCCACAGGCCTTGTGCAGCGTAGGCTACGGCTACCAGTTTCCTGACAGAAACAGAACCTTGCCAGCCGCTGTCAGCCTGACTAAGAAGCCATGTTCTGCAAAGATGCCCCGCGGGTCGGCGAAGCTCATCGATGCTGACCCATCGCATAGAACCTGCGGCTGTGAGGTCTGAGTGTGGGGATCAGGGGCTGTGTTGCAAATCCGTCGGTTGCTGGCAACCAGACAAGTGACTGCCAGCATCGAAGCGCTCCGGTTCTCCCGCCAGGGACCCTGACAACGTAGTGCGCTCAGAGGGGGCGTCGTGGAGAAGCCAAAAGAAATCTAGAACTGCTCTCGCTCTCACGGAAGAACCCCACAGAAGGCTCCCAAGGCCCTGCACGACACGATCTGTTCCGAAGAGTTTCGCTCTTCAGGACTTAGGGGACACCCATGTCGAAAATCTAGCATCGGAGATCTTGTCCGCATTTTTGTGAGTTAAGGCCGAAAGTTTCTTGCTCGATTTTGGCGTCAAGTTCCGCGTTTGTTGCTCATTCAAACGTCCAAGCATTTCATGCCGTCTCTAGGTGGTCCTGGTTTGGGCAACGCTCGTATGCCTTGTAAAACGACGGGGGAGCCCAACAATGACACCCCAGCCTATGCAAGCTGCTACTACTACTGCTGCTACTGCTCCTGCTCAACCTCCTGCTCACGCTCCTGTTACTGCTACTGACTTCCTACACACCGCGGTGCTGCTGCATCCAAACACGGATTACGTCGAAGACGTGAACACGACAATCAGATGTGAGATCCCGCCACAACGATTCATGAACATCGTCAGCCTCTGCATCCACTGAAGTCGGAGAGGATACTATGGCTGCTCTGGGGACGTCGGCCTGCCGTCGCCATCGGATAAGCGACGCCAAGACATGATGACGCCTACTCCTGCCAAATCGAATGCTGGCTCCGGCAACCGGCAAACAAGCCTGCACTGCAGGGTTGTGAGGTCTTACTGGTCGACATGCCTCCAGCAGCTTTGCGACGGCCTCCTCCACCTCTCGGAGTTGCCTGCATTGCAGGACATGTGTCTTGGGTCTCCGATTCACACAAGCGCAAGGCACGGATGGCGCGGCTCGGCTCGCCTCGTCTGAAGGACGTAAACCTGAGTGCCGAACACCTTAGCAGCTTCGCATGCAACAACATCCATGCCGCTGGTTCCAAACCTGCCGAGCTTATGGAAACCAGGCCTCCAAAAGCTGCCATGCTGCCGACACACGTCTGATGCTCTGAGGTCCAAGCTCGCAGCAGCCGCAACGTCCTAATGCAAAACACGTCTGAGAGACCAGTGCATGAACTCTGTCCTCTGCAGTTTACACCATGACCATTACATTACATTGGCGCTGCTGTATGTGGTTTCTACTGGAATGCTACAGGTCTTACTGCTTCGTTTCAATTTGGAAGGAGCTTTGAGTCCTGAGAGCTGGCTCTCTGTGCTGGGGGCACATGCGGCTGCAGCGATCTGCCCCGTTCAGCGCGGGGTGGAGGAACTGCCTCGACTCGGGTTCCAGTTGAGGGTCCAGGATTGAAGAAAAATAAAGTGCTTGGGGAAACCATGCATGGTGAATGAAGGTATGAAGGTATCAGTCTCGACTTTGGGAAGGCAAGGTCTTCAAGTCTTCTGGCTTGAAGCGGCAGTATAGAGTCTCAGCAATGCTCGGCGCTCCACCACAACTGCCGCAGCGCAGCATTTCAATCGATGGGAAGCTGCTATCGACGCAAGGGGTCTCTCGCAAAAAATCATGCACTGAGAGAAAACCATGAGGACGCGCCACAGTTCTCTTTCAACCCAGCCCTTGCCAGCACTGAATGAGCCGGGCTGCGAAAACTCCACCTCCGGTGGCGTGTCGCCTTATTGGGCAACTTCCACAAGACGGTATCGTGACACATGAGAGTTTGAGAAATCGAGGACTCAACGATCGATCACCCAAATCATATTTCAAGAGTATGACCTTGAATTTAAGAACGGGAACCAAGTGAGCCGAGGCTTGCGAGCAACCACGATAGAGTCCTACGGATGGCGGCGGGCCCACAGAACTCACAACAGCCGCGGGAAATGTGCATTCATTCACAGAGAACAGGAACTCCGGCTGAACTGAAGAAGAAACACAGGATCCCGGGATGCTGCCGAGAGTCCCCATGAGATGATCAGCTTCCTGTCTTTTCTCTGCACAAAACTTGCATGATACTTCGTTGTTCAGACTATCGGATCAGCATGCTTCCACAGCGTGAATTCTGCACCATGTCTATGTCGCATGCGGGTTTGCTCAAACCGTTTACCGTATGCTTTATCATTCATGCAGTCAACCTCTCCAGCGAGAGCGCCTCCAGTGCATCAGCGCAGTGTAAGCAGCCTGACGGCGCTCACTCACTCGAGAAAATGGCGTCTTGCTGAAGCTTAGGGCATGCACCGGCCTCGACTGTCACGATTCGCAAAAAACGTATACTTGTCTGCACTTCGCGAAGCCCGAAAGCCGAAAGCAGACTCCTTCTCCTAAGCCTGCTGGTTCTGATCCTCGAGCCTTGTACTTCTTGGGGACCTTCTGCGGGATGAGGTCTTTCAGGCCTGTGGCAGCAGACAGAAGCACTTTAGGAGCCCGGCACGGACGCTGTTACGGCTGCAGCTGCGACCATCGCAACTTGCGATCATTTACGATCTCTTGCAAATCTTTCGCACCTTATGACTCGAAGGCATTGCAATTCAGTTATGCTCTGCTACCACGCCAACTCCGAGACTCAGGCATTGCTCCACTCTGGGACGAATGCTCGGATCAAGCAGGATGGCACGGGCGAACATTAGAGCAGCATCCAAGTAGTACCTCGGCAGAAAAGATCACAGGATCACTCGGATCACTACTAGTGGTTTGCACTCCTCCTCCTGCTAATTCCCTCTCCTCCTGTTCCTTCTCTCGCTGGTGCTGCTCCTCGGAGCCGCACAATGCTTGTCAAGGAAAGTTCTTCAAACAAAGGAAGGCGTTCACTCGCTTACTGCAGGGCTAGGGTTGGTGCGTGCTCTGGACCAAGGAGAGCTTGCAAGCCAGTTACAAAAACGGCGAAGCTTTCATATGTCTCCGAGCGTCTCAAAGGGAACCCTAGAGGTTTCCGGGCGCCCAGGTAGACCCCAAACAGTCTCCAAAGAGATTGCCCTTTCTGCGTTTTCAAGATGCAGCTCATTCCGTTCGCAAGCCATGCAATACCGCAAAGCAGCGAAACAAGTGCAAACCTTCGCTTACAAGTCATTAAGCATTCTAGACCGAACTTCTGTTACCCGTACTGCCATTTCGGAGTGGAAAAACCATCGGTTTGGACGTGAGAAAAAAGATGCTGCTCCAAGCGGCTGGCCCTCGCCTCGCATGTCGAGGATCACAGCGACGCGGGCAGAGATGTTCCCTCCGGTCCAAGCTCCGGCCGGGGGCCGGCCCCAACAATTTCGGGCCCTCTTTCTTTGGTCCCATTCCTAACTTTCTTCTTCGTTGAGCAAGATTTCTGCATCTTCGATGAATGGCCGAGTGTTACGCTTTAGAGAAGCCACGAAGTTGAGCAGAGGATCCTCGGCTGATCCAGCTATTCCCGTCCAGGCTTCTCGCGATGCCGCTACCAGGTCAGTGCTAGCTTGGCTTCAGCTAAGTGGGGGGTGTCTCCAGTCCGCTTCTCCATCTGAAAAGCCCCAGCCCTGAATGCGGCGACCTGCCGCAAGCCAAGCCGTGGCATCTGACCTTGCCAAGATATGCTCGGCTGTGCTGCTTCGTTTCCTTAAGGTTCCGTAGTAGCAGTTTGCAGATGCATGGCTTCTCTGTCGCTATAGCGGTGACGGCAAAGCCTCTCAAAGAAGTCAGATGAGAGACGGTCGGCAAAAAGTGACTGACAGCCAAGCAACGCCCCGAATTGGAGCATGGCCACAACTTGGTTCTGCACCTGAGGGAAGACTTTGCCCGGTGGGTGTACGCAAGTTGCATAAGCCATATCTGTCTGTCGGAACGTGCCTCCCACATCTTCATGTACGGATCCTTCGGCGCCATGGTTTAAGTTAAGAAGGACAACAGGCACGACTAGCTTCAGGGTGTGAAGGCACACCACCGACTCATCATCCACGACTGCAAGCTGCCATGCAAGAGGGCCAAGTTATGGGATGCTCTAATGGTCCTGGTGCAAAGGGTCCCGGTGCATTGTTGGTGTCTGACATCGACAAATAACAATGCATGTTATAGCCGCAGCCTCATATTATGTGTTGTATATTACGTGGTATATTATACACTACATTCAACACTGTTAGACTGTATTCCATAAGACTGTAAGATATAGTACAACATATAAAGTGCTTATTTATAGATGAATAAAACGAAGACTCTTGGCATTTGCATTCCTGCCCTTGCGTATGTGCGTATGCAATACGTAGCCGAAACACCACCACGACCCAAGGGTACCCAAGGCCTGAGGTGGACGCCGAACTGCGGTCAAGCTGAGCGGTCCGGTCCTTCAGCTTCTCGGCCAAGTCCAACGCAGCCTTGGCATGCGCAGCGTAGCTCGCCACCGCCGCAGGCCGTGCTGCGGGTGCCTATGGCAAGAGGGGCGAGGCAAGAAGAAAGGGCGAGAGGAAGTGAGAGAACGCGCCCTAGAGTGCGCCTCGGGCTTGGCGACGCGCTCCCAACCATCCAGGGGGCTCTCGCTCCCCTGTCGCCATGCAGAGCAGGTACGAGGACAGCGAACGACGGCCAAAGTTGATGGTTTCCGGGAGCACGAACGGACACCCCGCCTTGTGCTTGCCAGACAACTTCCTGCGTTTCTTTGGCAGGTGGCAGTTCGATGGGAACACGACGCGGGTGCCCTTCCCGATGTGCGGCGGGACCTGTGCTTCGGCAAGCTGCTCCACTGAAACCAGGTGATTGAAGATCTTCTCTCAGGCTGCAGAATGTGTGCAATACAACTCGCTCCTTGTGAATGGCGAAGGAGGGGAAAATCAGGACGTCGCCCTCCTCTGCATAGAAGGCCGCAGGCCGGTGGAACCTCAGTCGCAGAACCCGACGAGAAATGCTGCTCTGAGGTTGAAACCTATCACCGGACGGAACGACCTCCAAGGTCACTGCACGCCGCCACATCATGCACCAGAAAACACTGTGTCCATCTTGCCCAGTCACGGAGGTTCGCTGTCCACACCCATATCACCCCGGTCCTGCTGCAGCACATTCTTACAACTGTTAGGGAATCTAGGCCTCATGACTTCTGTAGCCTTGGCCGTTTAAGTTCAACATGTGTGACTTTAGATCCACGTTGACAGCCAAGGACAGTAGCCAGGCCCCGCACTGCAGTTCATAAATGGACTCGAGAGCGGGGCTTCTCAGACAACACATTGCTGACCTGGAACCACTCGAAATCTTCGATCGGCGGAGCACCCCGCGGGTCGGAGATTGTTAAAGGTGTCGTCGGCTCAGGCATTTTCACGTAGAGGACAAAGCCTCAGCAGGGAGGGCATTGTGTCACCACGCCGCGCTTTCGCATGCAATACCGTCAATAAAGGGCTTGTAGAAAACTGCCAGCAGCCAAGCTTTGTGCGGGCCAATGCTTCGCAAAATGTTGTCCGCTGATGCAGGGTGGAACATGGGAAAAGCTTCTCAGCCAAGAAACTGACGATAGACTCCTGCCGCAATTGCAACTCACTACTGCCTGTCATGCAGCAAGCAAAGCATGTACTAAGTCCGGCTGGCACAGTACGACAATTGCAACCTAATCAGAGCTCCTAGGACCTAGAGAGAAAGCCATCAAACAGATGTTAGATCGGAAATGATCCTGGTGCGCATGGTAGTAATGCGTGACTGGGTCGTTCGGCTTCATCCTTGGGACAGAGCACGTCAGATCGCGATCAAGCTTCGAAAGTCTGACCTAGAGATTCTCCAAAATGCAAAGTACGGCTAGCCTGGCCCTACAAATCGCAAAATGGAACCAGAGCTCTTGAAATAACGGCAGAAGGGTTTTCGGACGGAATGTGTGTCTGCGAAGGACGGGCAGTGTCGCACTGATGCCGCACCCTCGTGTGGTGCATCTCCTGCGTCTCCCGCCTGTTCTACCCGGCAGACGATGTCCAAGTGTGCGAGCTACGTATAAGCTCAAGGGAGGGATCTCGCAAGACTAGTCCGATCCGAGAATCGTAGGATACACTGCTGCCCACGTGACCACCTCCATTTCTTCTCTTTCCTCCTGGGCTAGGCTCTTGCAACGAAGGTGAGACTTTGAACCAAGGCAAATGCAGTGTGTCGCAACCTGCCTTGGTCAACGGCACGCCCAACTTGTCCAGGAAGGACATGCAAATCTCGATGCTCATTTCCGCCCATTCTTTGTATTCCTGGCTGTTCGTGGACTCTCTAGCCGTTGCAGATGGAAGGGTCAGGAAGCAGCCCAACGGTGAAGAAAATACAAAACATCCAGAGTGTCGGAGTATATGACACGCGACGAAGCTTCTCCTGCGATCTACACTTCAAGTGCACTCCGATTCAATCAAGCAGCCCGGCTCTTGTAAAGCTCCGGCCAGGAATCAGGCGACTCCATAGCTGCGAAGGGATTTGTGTCCTGCCGGCTGCGTACGATTGCAAATGCTGCCGCAACTGGTCCCTGTGGACAAGTGCATCAGGGGGTGAGCATCGGATTTCAGACTCCGACTTCGCAGCATCGACAGGCTCAACCCTTGAATGATGCCAACCTGGTGCTGGAAGAAATGATTGTTCACATTGACGAAAGCCTCCCCGTTTTCCTGCTGGACCTGCAGGAATGCAGGACCTCCTTCGCATCCAGAACAGACTTGCGTAAGCAAGCTTTCGTATAAGCGACCCTTGGATTGGAGAATCAAGAAGCAGTAGAATCAGCAAGCTTCGCATGTGAGTGGTCTAGGCAGGATCCAAACTGCAATTTTGCCGGATCCGAGCTTTTTACAGAACAAGCCACGGGGCGGCGGCCTGGGTAAATTTCTTCATGGCCAGTGTGCCAAAGCGATGCAGCGTCTTCCTCAAGCCCACACGTACTACAAGGCTTCTGGGCCTCGTACCCGAACTATGACGCAACGTCTCATCGTAATTACTTTTACTCTACCGCCTGGATTTTGAAACCTCGACATGCACCAAAGGATTCAAGTTTCCGGGTACTGCAACCTTGTCTTGTTGCATGATGATGCCGCCAAGGCCGGACTATCAAGCTTCTAGAAGCATGTCATTCCTTCTGGAGTACTGTAGGTATGAACATCACTGAAGTCGTCTGTCGCTGTACCACCTGATACACGTATCTGTGACTGGCTGGGCTAGTGTATCCGTCCAACGCACTGACATCAGATTACATATAATTCCATCTCCCCTTTAAATTCGAGTTTCATCTTGTTGACCGTACCTGACCTGTATTCTTGTCTCGCTGTACGCCGAGAAGATCCAGGATGCTGCTCTCGCAGCGTCATTTAGTGTGGAAATTGTTTTTTCTCATTGACCGTATGTTGCTTTGCTTCATCGCTGTGCGGATACATGTTTGTCCTGCGGCAGAACTTTGGTCGTCTTTCACTTGGCTCTAAAACGATGAGCAGAAACAAATCTGCCGTATCATCCTGCATCGTGTTCTTCAGCATGCTGCCACCGACTGAGACTGTTCTGTTTTGCGGTTAAATTCTTAGCTTTACCCATAGATCATTCGACCAATCGGTTCATATACTATAACGCTCTTGCAGTAGATGTTACTACCACTTTATACACCGAAACCATCACCGTGCCAATTCAGCGTGCCATTTTGTCGCAGTATCTTCTTGGCTGCGACTCCACCCATTCCATTGCTATAGATTGTGCTGTTGATTGTACTCCGATTCCACTGGATGCTACATACCAACATGTTTGAACTATACTGTGCGACCTTATAGGTATTGGAGTTGTAGGTAGCAGAAGTGTTTGTAGGAGTATGAGTAGCAGCTCAGTAGATGCAGCAGTAGCGGTAGCGGCACCGGCACCGGCAGCGCCAGCGGTAGCGGTTGCAGTTGCAGCTGCAGCAGTAATAGCAGCAGCAGGAGTAGGAGTAGGTGTAGGCGTAGGCGCAGGCGTAGGCGTAGGAGGAGGAGGAGGAGGAGGAGGAGGCGTCGGCGTCGGCGTCGGCGTCGGCGTCGGCGTCGGCGTCGGAGTAGGAGTAGGAGTAGGAGTAGGAGTAGGAGTAGGAGTAGGAGTAGGAGTAGGAGTAGGAGTAGTAGTAGTAGTAGTAGTAGGAGCAGCAGTAGCAGTAGCAGTAGTAGTAGTAGTATCAGTCGTAGTAGTAGTATAGTAGCAGCAGGGATAGTAGTGGGAGTAGTGGTAGTTTCAGCAGCCGTAGGAGTTATACATTTGGACCTTCCAATACCCATGTCATCTTCCCACTAACCAATCTGTGCACGAGCTCCTGAGCTTCATCACACCGAGTAGCTGCCAGTCTGCCAGACCCAGGTCTGAGATGTGCCTGGAGTCAGAGTTAGTCTTCAGACTTTGCAGTTTGCAATTTGAGGGTTGCTGCTTACCGGTCTTAGAGCTGTGCAGATGATGTTCTCTCAAAGCACAGCATGTACGTCGAAGGAAATTTAAAGCATTGTTGAAAACGAATATCGGGAGGGACGATACCGAAGCCAGAACAAACAAAACTGCAGTTCTATTTGGAGGCATCCCGATTGCAGGCCCACATCTGCTATCCAGGACACAAAAATCCCAGCGGCGTGGCAAAGAGCGTCAGTGCCTGGCAGTCACACAAGTCCAACGAACTTCCATGGTCTTCGGATCCGTTGTTGAAGACGCGAATCGCTGACGAGCTCAAATAGATCCGTGAATAGTCGCCTTAGAGTGGAAGATTTGAAACCCTCGAAACCTTGGCATCCGCGGGCTTCGCGCAGCTTGGCCACGGAGTCTCAGCCCAGCGCCTCACCGGGCCTGGAGCACTCAAAGCACACCCAGTAGTTGCGAGCATATATCTCCCGAAACACGGCTAGTGAGTATCTCACTAGCGAATACATGATATGCAGTAGGAAATGCACCGATTGCAAGCAGCATGGCGTAGTATATGCCATGCTGGCGTTGGTGTCCGGCACATAACACAGAGTTCGGTTCGCATGGCATAAAAACAAGGTAAATCAACATGGGGCACGGCATGGTGTGCAAAGTAACACCATGAGGCTTCAGCAAGCCATCACATAGGTCAATCTACCAAACTGCGTCTCTCCGTTTCAACACACATGGATGGCATGGCATGGTCGGATGCAGCATTACAGTACTGTGGCATACTGCACCTTTCTTAGGCATGTGCATGTGTGTCAGCACAGGTATGTTTCACCGATCCTAGCAAGCAGCCCAAATTGCGGAGGGCAACATGATCGCCACTGGTACTAGCCAAGCTGCCAATTGCCAACTCGTCCGCGCTGGACGGGGTCAGCAACAGCTCCTCAGGTTCACCGCAGATGGTATATCCCACAAGGAGCAAGAGGTGTGACCCACGCACTCAAAGCAGCCCGAATTTTGGATGGTCCCAAAAGCCACGCCTTGAAGTCGCACGGCGATGCCTGTGCTCGGGAGGCTACCTCACCAGACGGACGCAGGCGTATGGGTCCAGGTTGGAGCGCTCGACTTTTCCGAGCTACAAGTGCAAGCCATGGTCAAGGTCCGAAGAGCTGAGGTGTTCTCGGGGCTTATCTCCACCGCCACTTCGAGGAACTGCCGGCATGCATCGGAGTCATCTTTGAACTCAAAGGCTCGCCGTAAGTAGTAGTCCTTGGGCTTGCGACATGCTTGTATGCGAAACTGCTCGTTGCGAAATCTTGCGACATTCAACTTGGGTGCTTCGTGGCGTTCATCATTTTTCGTTTGTATGAATATTACGCAAATGCTTAATACATAGCGATCTTCGCATGCATAAAGAAATCTCACTTGTCTGATTACAGGGGTTACGTATTTCTTCTTTCCGGGGCAAGTCTGTGAGAGCAGACCCGGCAGCAGACCTGCAGATTTTGCGGTCTCAGATTCGCTCCGGGCTGCAGCATAAGCCTGCCATGGGGCTGCTGTCGGGGCCGGATGCAGTACGAATAATCTCTCGGAACCCTGAGTCCATGAAGCCCTGACCCTCCTTGACTCTCAAATCATAGCCTGTCGGTAGTAGAACTTGTCCACATCCGACTCCTGCAAAGGGGCGGAATGTTAGACAAGGAGTTCTGAACAGCTCTGACATCTTGGACCACCTTCCAAACCCATCTGATCTGCACTGACACTTTCCAAGAAGGCAGCTGCATGCAGCTGCTTTCGCGCCACACTTAACAACCCTCAACGCGAAGACGGGAATCATACGAAATGGTATTGCAGATGAGGTGTTCCATTTGATTTCGCAGGTCTGTACCTGGCCCCTGCAAAGGAGGAAGCCAGCAGCAAGCAGCCACGAGGGCACCATGGCTCGAAGTAAGGGTGGAAGCTCGGGCTTCTGGCTGGAGAACTACGGCTTACATTCGGATGCGGGATCAGGGCAGCCTCGCGTGCCTACTTGTGCTGCTCTCTTGTTGCTGTTGCTCTGGCTTTGACTTGGGCTCCGGAAATTCCTGGAGGAAGGGCTGATAACGGTCATCGTCTTTGAGGGTGGCTGTGATGATCAAGACGGTGATGGTGGGATGCACACAACTGTCAGTGCTCTTCACTACAGCTGCTGCATTGCTGCAGACCTTGTAATGCTCTGTCAAGGTCTCCTTGCTGTCTCGCTGGTCAACTCGGAACCCCGAGGTATGAACGATTCAACCAGCAATGAGGTCGTGCAATTTCTGTGCCCTCTGACCCACCCCTGCGACACCTCGGTTCTGTGCTTCGCCAGCTCAGTCTCGTAGCCTGCACACTGGAACCCACTCCGACCGCAAGCCGTTGTCACAGCGCCGCAAAGCTGGGCACCCGGCCCGCGCGCTGGGCAGCCTGGGTTGTCACAGAGTCACAGATGCATTGAGGGCCCGTGAAGAACTACAGACTACAGGAAACTCAAAGTGGATGTCATGCCGTCATGCAGTCTGCAAGGAGCAAGTTGCCGGAGCACACCATCGCTACAGAAATGGTGGGGGGAGGTCTCACCGCCATCCCCAAGCCAGGTCGCCAGGATCTCTTCCAGCTTCGCTTGCTCATTCAAAAGGGCTTCCTGCCACAACACCGCAGCTTGCAAGTACCGCTTGAGATCAAATCTGGTTATTGGGTTCACAAACCAAATTTTCATCCATCCCGAGACCGTGAAAAGTGGGCTCGACAGACATGGACGTGTCCCTCCTCCATCCTTCTATCTGCAGCCGCGGTTTTCGCATCTTGCTTCCAGCCCATAAAGACCGTCACCAGGACCTGAGCAGAAGTAAATGGTACTGCCTAGTTGCAGGCCGTCTTGCGCCATGGATCCTTGTCAGAATCTGCGCGCGAAGCCGCGAAGCAGGTTGATTCCGTTTGGATGGATCACGCGAACTTCTGCAAGCTATGTAGAAACGGATAGGGAGGAGTACAGATACGAACACAAAAGGTTCATGCCGTTGAGCAAGGACTTTCGAAGACGGTCTTGCGCAGGTCGCACATCTTTGTCGAAAAAAGCGTCCGAGGTCCAACATGCTCGAAGCTTAGGCAGAGACTCCCTTGGCATCGCCACGAGCCTCAGGAGCCGGAAGGCAGTCGGCTCGGAAACCCACTGATGCGTCTTCGGGCCTGGAGCACATGTAAACCTTGAACCTTTAACGGTGTACCTAGCATGTGCCCCTGTGTTCACCAACTTCCAGCGATTTCAGCACGAAAACAACAATGGGAAAAGAGCCTTCAAGACCCCTCGTTTCTCGGAGTTTGGACATGTCAGGCTTATGTCCAGCTTGCACAAGAAGCTTCTCCTTGTGAAGCCTCCGCTCTACTCTTCTCCAAGCGGCCCATTTGGCCACCGACATCTTGACTGAATTCAGCTTCTTCTCCGACTGCCCAGGGTCCGAAAATCAGACACAATCTGACACATCTGGAGTGAGGTCGACAAGTGCTTCTGCTGCTATCACTACTCCGACGGCAATCCCGGGAACAGGTTCTGCACACGAAGCTGCACCTAGTCATGCATCGGTTAATGCTGGCACGCAGTCTTGTGGCAAGCAGGTCACCATTCAAGCAGCAGCTACCGCGGCAGACGAGGTTGGCGTCTGCGTGCGTTTCACGTTCTGCGAGATTGACACCTAGAGGGAGCTCCTCACAGAACCATTGATTCTGTCGACCAAAGCGCTCATTCACGAGTAACGCATGTTGCTATAACACCATGAGCATCGGGTTAGCGATGAAGCCAGCAGAAAGGGTGTACATGATGGCCTTGAACATTCTTGTACTCCGACCAGGGCCCATAAGCTGCAAGTTCTAACTCAGGCGTTCAACAACGCTGAACCCTCGATCCATTAGTGGACACCTGGGTCGCCGCTGTCAGAGCGAGAATTTAATCTGAAGCTGCAAACTGTCGCCTCAGCCCGTTTCAGGGCATACTTGGACCAGACCTTGCACGTCTTTTGATTCAGCGAATCGTGCTCAAAGAAGAAACAAAGCGAGACAAAAGACTGCAAGGACCGAGGCTCCAGCATGATAGACTTCGTCGACGAGTCCCAAACAGTCGCCCTTGAGCCACTTCCTCGACATCAGTTCCACCTCGCGGAGTGGAACAGGCATGCCTTCTAATAAACACTTTCACTTTTTCGATGCTGTAAAGAAAGGCTCTCTCGGTCCGCCCGGCATGTACAGTCTTGTAGGGTCATGCTCTAGACACAGGCATAGTCTCATGCCCATACCAGTTCGGCTGGCCACCACGGCCCCCAGCAGTTGCAGATGAAGAAGGCGCACAAGCATGCGATGTGAAGCTGCAGAGGAAACATGAAAAGCATGATTTTCTCGAATCACGAGCGAAAAAAGCCGAGGTCGTTAAATCCTAAAGTCATGTCCCCAGCACCAGCTTTCCAGCACAATCAAGCCCAGCAACGGCTTTGTGAGCTGCATCGAGCTTGCCAGCGTGCTTGTCCATCTGCTTCTGGCACGGCATGCAAATTTGAGCTCGGATGAACCAGGTTGCAAAAGGGAACTGCCAGGAAGCCCAGATTCAGATGAACAGCACAAGGCTCAGAACAGCCACCTCCAGCCCTGTGAGGTTTGCAATCCTTTTTGTCCGCGGCCCCACGTCAGGCCGACTTCTTTGGGAGCAGGCGACGTACAGGGAACAGCAGGGCATAGACCAGAAGGCCAATGCCTGAGCCAAGGAGACGGCGGAGCCCACGTTCTCTTACTACAGATGAGAACCTCGACTGTGCCTTAGAGCAAAATCCAGCAAAGCTAGCAGACAGTCACTAGCTTGCTCCAAAAACGAGGGATCTTTTCAGAGCTACTATGGCGAAGGCTTAGCCAATTCAACACCCAGATTCCCGACAGACAACACTTACAGATCATCCTCATGAAACGCGACACGCACGCTCAAGAAAAGAGAGCGCAAGCCCTCAGCCACCCCGGCGCGACTACTTCCAGGTACAACAACTCGTGACTTGGGCAGATGCTGTTGGTGCTCCGACTGCTACCGAACACACAGAAAGGAACTCGCTCCGAAACACGGGCATTACCGCTGTTGACACCTATAATGCGTACTCGGGTCTTCATCATCCCGACGATAGTGATCACGAGACTGACTGGTCCCTTGCAGAAAGCTATGATCTTAATGGTGGTGAAGATGGGGCAACGATTCATACAGTGATGACACACGATGGTGACGATGATGATGATGACGATGATGCTGGTGGTGGTGGTGGTGGTGGTGGTGGTGGTGGTGGTGGTGGTGGTGGTGGTGGTGGTGGTGGTGGTGGTGTGATGATGTTGCTGATATTGATGTTGATGTTGATGATGATGGCCATCCTCAGTCACCTCCTTTGCCACCACCGTCGCCATTATGCAAGTCGAGTCCTCTGGCATCAAATCCATCAAACCGCAAACTCTCGAACCTCTCCAATCCGAGCTTGTCACCCTCCGCCGTGACGTTGCAAACCGAGGCGCCAAACCCCTTCGTCGGATCCGTACTGCCTGGCGAGCGCCGCCCAAGCAGGCTTCGTCGTTTTGGGAGGTGTCCCAATCCGACTTCTCTAAGCTCATTGCTGGGTGCCTTCGTCAAGCGATTGTAAGACGCTTACACTTCGGATCATTGAGACAAGACCTCCCAGAACTCAGGACCAAGTCGCAGGTAGCTGCTGCGGTGGCCCAACCAGCGAGGGCCTTGAGCTCATGTCTGTCTCAATTTCCAGATGCCCATGCCTCGTGATTCTTGATGCCGCTGATCTGACTGATGGTACGTTAGCCAGGTAGCTAGATCGGCCGGTCCGTCCGTCAGTCAGTCAGGCAATCATTACACTGTCATGATTACAGTCAGTCAGCCATCCAGCCAACCAGCCGGTCATTCGGTCAGCTAGAGTCGTACGTACGATCTACATACATACATGCGTGCGTACATACGTACAGTCAGTGAGACCTGGCAATCTTCGAAAAGGTGGATCTTGCCTTCCCTGCACCCCCCCCGTCTGCCCAGTCTTTGCAAGGCATTCTATCTGTTGCTGCGTCTGTTCTTGAGTCAGTATTAGTCATGTGTTTGACATCTCTGTTCACTCCACAGCAAGTGCGGCTTCAGCCAGTTGCGCTTGCCCTGGTCATTGTGCTTGCATCCGGGCGTGTATTCTTCGAATTGATAGTTAGTGAGGCTTGCGGAAGCTGGGGGACATCGATTGTCGTCATGACCACACGAACAATACACCTCCACATTGCACCCACACTGGGCCGAAAGGCATCAGGGCCACCGAGTCGGAGCAAGTCCTTGGGGGCGACCTCAGAAACCGTGCAGATTTTAGTGCTTGAAACTTCAAGTTTCTTTGTTCAGGGTGGCTGGGGTTCAGGAATTAGGTATCGAGTTCAGAGATTGGGATTACGACTTATGGTTCAGGGCGCTTAGATGAGATTCAGGCCTTAAGGTTTATGATTTGGGACTCAGGCTTGAGCATTGCTAATCTTCACACCTATGCAGGTGCAAAGCGCGAAGCATGTTCATCTGCATCACAAAACACGCCATGTGTTGTGTTGAATCTGCAATTCGAAAAGGTTATAGCAGCTACATCTCATGGAGGTCGGGATCGGTCTCGTGTCAGCTTTTGCTTGGGCTTCAAGCAGACTGGGCCCGGAGTTCAGACACCTTGGCATGTCTAGAGCTCAAGGGCACTAGAAGTAGCTGCGTATAGTCAGTGGAATCTGAGTCGCTGCCAAATTTTAGGGATAGGGAAAGCCAACGATCGCAATCTTGCGCAAGTGCAGTCCCAGCGAATGAAGAGTCGCAATCCACGCGGTCCTGGCATTGAGCCGTGCCCGTGACCTGAGCCCTTGGCGACTGCAGGCAACACAGCCTGAGATTGCAAGGGAAAGCTGGATGCTGCTGTATGCGGAGCCTCTTGGTGTGCCGCAGTAGTAACTGCTGTCGCAGTTACAAGACGATTAACCTTATCTGTCTTGTTCACCAACGAGGTAAACGTGTAGTAATCATCGGTATGGTAAAGCAGTGGCCGCAGCTTGAGTCAGCTTCGTCCGCCGACAGCATCGTTACCCGCCGGCTCATGACGGCCTTACGAAGAAAGGGTGCGTGAGCCAAAAATATCTACGAGGCGTGGGATGCAGGGCCTCGCAACCTCTGCACGTGATTACACGTGTTGCCACCAGCACAGGCCTCAGTACCCGTGCCTGATACCAGTAGTAGTAAAAGCGGGAGTGGTAGTAGCAGTAGCAGTAGGAGGAGGAGCAGGAGCGCTTGGAGCAGTCGTAGCAGCAGCAGTAGGAGTTTGATCATGTATTGCGAGACAGCATGGCTGCTGCACCGGCCCCGTGCCTGCATTCGCGGCGGCATGTGCAGCTAGAGGCATGCTCCGCACAAAGGTTCGTTTGAGACTGACACACAACACTCCTCTCTCTCAGCGAGCTGACTGGTGAAAATGTGGCCAATGAGGCTCGGCTCCGAAGGCTTCGCCTTCGGAGCAGAATGTGCAGCAATTTTTGTGTGTTCGCACTGGAATATCCAAGCAGCTGCGAGAACCGTGGAGGATAAGACTGCCTGCACACTGAGTTCCAGAATTGAAGCTGCTGACCTACTCGTGCTGTTGCTGGTATTCCTCCAACATATGAAAAAACAACACATGACAACAGCAACAGCAACAGCCACAGCCACGACCACAATCACAACCATAGCAGCAACAGCAACAGCCACGACCACAGCCATATCCACAACCACAACCAACACAATCACAATCACGAAAATAAAGGCAACCAATAACGACCACCACCACCACCACCACCACCACCACGACTACCACTACCACTCCCTCTGCCACAGCCACTACGTACCACTGCCACTACTGCCACTGCCACTGCCATTACACTCGAACTTACGGGTACACTACTATTGCTGCATTCATGAAGGATCGGCGCTGTGGGCTACTCCAGTCGTCACTGCCACGATTGCAATAGCACATCCCGGCCTTCGGGGTCATGACAAGGAGCTTGGACACCTTTCAAGCAGCCGAAATCAGGCCTGAAACGCTTTTGCTATGCGGACTTTACTTGCTCGAAGTCTTGGGGGCATGCTCACGTCCAGCAGCAGAGTGAATGGCCGTCATCAAAAACCAAGCACACCCTGCTTGGGCACTCGTAATCATCAAGAGCACTGCTTCATCTCTTGCGACTGCTCGATCCGTGGAGCCCTCTGAGTGAAAGCTGCGCGACACCAAGCCTAAGCTCCAGTGCCCCACACCGCTATGTGTACGTTCATATGAACTGAGATAGCTGAATAAACTACAAGCACCATCTGTATTACCATGGTCGGCATCACTGCCTCAGTCATGACCACGATCATTATGATCCTTACGGTCGTCGTCGTCATCATCTTCCTTATCATGGTGACGGCCATCATCATGATCCCGATTGGACATGGTGGCCAAGGCAGACGACCCGAGCCTGAGGGAAGGCAAGGCCCATGGTCGCAAAGCCACAGACTAAGCCCATCAGCCTTCAGGGTGTTTGCAAGATATTTGGAGGCGATACATGCAAACATCGTGCAACGCAACCGACCGAGACAACCAAACCTGAAAACCTTCAGTGGCATTCAAGGCTTCTTGACTAAAGCTGCATCTGAAAGCCAATCTCCAGGTACCGCAGATCAAACACCCTTCCCGGACTTCCAGTCGACCGCAGCGACGGAAAGGCTGAAGCGGCACAAATCTAGGAAATACGTGAGATCTCAATTGTTTCTGCGTCTTCTTCAGGTCCGTTGGGAAGCCTTCCGTCTCCCCTTATGATCTACTTGCAGTCTGAGCCGCGAGTATGACTTAAGCCCCTCAGGCGGCACGATGTACCAACCATCTTTGCCCACTATGCGGACAAGCTGCGGCGAAGAGGCGCCTCCCAGCACTCCCAAGGTTGTTCAAGGGGATGAGCTCACGACCCCGGCCAAAAACTCTATAGATAGAAATGATCTTTGTTCCTGCGAATCCACGGACCCACGGATCTGAAACTATCCGCCTCACAACCAGCTTTACGCCTGAGCTCCTCTTTTTTACCCGTGATCTTCACCAAATCTGCGATGAGATCTGCTGTGTTTTGAGAGGGATCTTGCTGCTCTCTGCGGCAGCCTATCATTCCAGCCAGCATGGATCGCGTCAGCGAGCCACCAACCGGAGCAGAGCCCGCCATGCCGGAAGCGATACCTGAAAGTGGAGACGGAGAACAGTGTTTCTACGCCACAAGCACGAAACTCCCTGTTGAGGTTCGCTAAGCCTGCGCTTCTGCAGGCAAGGCTCAGCCGATGCCTTGCCCTGCCAGCTCCCGGGTCGGGCGGCTGCCTCCTGGGGCTGGCCGCTCGGCCTCAAAGAGAGGTCTCAGTGGCTTAGGCTTCAAGTTTCAGAGTCAAGCTTGGCAGTGCCTAAGAGTTTTGCACTTACATGTTTCGGGCCTTGTGTATGGCTTAGGTCTGCAGGT